GCCTTTGGGGGGGGGGAGGGTTTCGTGGTTAAGTTTTGCAGCTGCTACGAAGCCTGGCTGAGTCGAGCCAGTTTGCCCGTACAGTAATTGGTGCAGATTATGTTGTTTGACTATGTGCAAAACACAGATGTAACTCGTGCCCCCCAACCGTTTGCTTTCACTATAAAACATGAGTGGCATTATCATACTGTATTCCAGAATTGGTGGGGAGCGGTGGCACAGTGGTTAGCACACTTTATTGAGCTAAACTATCTTGCATTCAATTACCGGCCACGGCTCACATCAGTGGCGAGTGATACCCCCAAATACCAGTCCTCACCGACCAGCGTGGTGAAGTATGGACAAAAAAAACCCGGCCCCCTGATCGACATGTCGTGGCCTTAAACGCAGCAGCGACTTGACAAAGGGCCGTGGACATTGTTATATTTATTGCATTGTTATAATTATTGCATTGTTATAATTATTGTATTATCGGCGTTGTCATCTGAAATCGCACCCTTGCCTGCCTTACGTTGCCTATTTGACGCACTATAGCTTTGGAAAGAATTGTAAATATTGTCATTCCTGTCTGTGCTGCGTGACAAAAACAAAAGAACTTCTCTCAACTCCCATACATTCATTCACCTTACGTATGTCGGGTGCTTAAAAAATATATATATGTTAAGTATTCAACGATTTCCAGGAAGCCACAGTAATAATCGCGACTGCGTTGTGTTTGTGTCTGATTGTGTGGGGAACCCCTCCTCTCTTGCTCGCACAGCTGTGTTAAAGAGATAAGCTTCCTGGCTCTGATATGAAATAAATGTTTTGCATTTACAGTGCACGTGGACTATCCTGGTTACTAGCAGGTGCATTTACGAGCCAAGTACCTTTAGGTGATTAATGGAATGTCGCCTGTGTACGCATGTGTTTTTGAGTATTATTTAGCGTATACAGATATGATATAACGTCGTATATTCTACCACCATACTGGGGAATATTTCTCACAATACTATTGCTGATCTATTATAGCGCACGTACGATTGTTTCATTTAAAAATTGCATCATTTATGGAGATTTTAGCATTTCGCTAGTTCTATGGTGGACCAAGGTCTTGAAGGGCCCCCTCCCCATGCTGTCTGTTGTGGGGGTTGTTTGACCATACTTCACCACCTCACTTGGTCAGTTCAGGTTGGTGAAGGGGTGGTAGGGATCAGGACCGGTTCGGATATCACTCTGAGTCGATGTCGGGAATCCCGAACCAAGGTGGTGGGACACGGAGCGCTCTAACCACTGCGCCCACTGTTCCCTCGTACAAACTGTGCGAATTTATAAAATACACAAAAGTTCGCACACGTTGCTAAGTTCGCACACGTTGCTATGACCCACCATATCTCCCTCCCCAACTCCCTCACCACTCCACACTCTGACCGGCGAGAGCTATGTTCAAACAATCGCCATCAACCTGATGGCCCTTATTTGGCATTGCTTTGACAAAATGGGGCTTTAAACATTATTCTACATATTTAGTTTTTATTGGCCTGCCCAACGTGCTTGTGGAAGGAAACCCTTGAGAACCGTCTTGTGGCGTGCTAGTGGACACCGAACGCCTGCCCTCGACAACTGAGATCTGGGCACGTGAAATTTAAAGGGCCGCTGCGTGGATGCGAGCCTAATTGACTATTACTCACCAAAGTGTATGCGTAAAAGATTATCTCGAACCACTTGCCATGACAACGTGTATCAGTTACCGCAAGCCCTCTCTGAAACACAATACGTGACACGGCCTGTATCCATCGCCAACGCATAAATAGCCATTCCAGGTCCAGTTTTCAAGTAAACGCATTTAATGATTATCTGGACACTGTCGAGCAACCCCCCGTGATGTTTATTGATATTTTTTAAACAACCCGCGGGCCAAGTAAATGTTTTCGGCTGTTGTGCTCCAGCGTTTACAGTGGTCGGTTTCACAAAGGCCCGTTGATAAATATCAATAACAACTGTTAGAAGGCCACTTGCCTAATGCCCTTAATTATTCATGCGAGCGCGCTCATTTACCCCGGGGCACGAGGAGTACTTTTATTTAAAAAGGGGAGCGCTCGGAGGAGGAAATTAGATATTCTCGCACGGGCACTTGTGAGTGGTTGCCCAGGGAAACAAACACCCGTGCACGATTCTGCATATCGTGGGGCCTCAAAAAGGGCCCGCGCCAGGTCACACATTGTGCCTCATTCCTTGCCTTTCATGCTGGAAAAGGCTCCTCCTCGCATAGGGTTGGTTGCATTTTTGTTATTACATTACTAACGAGCCGTTTGCTTTACAAGGAAGGAAATAGTTTTTTTTTATCACCCCCCCCTCCTCCTCCATGTTATCTAGATTTCGCTGTCAGTGTCATGTTATGAGATGAAGTATCCATTTGTATCCCTGGCAGGGCAGTACAACCGTATTAGAGAACATCCCACGTGATCAAAGGTATGTGAGATCCCTTCAAGCCGATCTGTGTTCTCCATAGTTCGGGGGCTGTACTTTCACACCTACTCTGCCACTGGGTCATGTTTTTCACACGATGGTCAAACAGAATTTTTTTTATTCTCGGTGCTGGAATTTAGCCAAATTAAGTGTACTGTACAACCAAATTGTATGTGATGTGGGGGTTGCCAGTCATTGGTCACCGGAACCGAGACCATCAACTAAATGCACTCGAGCACCCGCTTTCATTCCACTTGGCTGCGTGGATTCAAAGCCATGGTCTCAGCAGTGCCAGCTCGGCGTTTTAAACCCTTTGAGCACCTGGTGAGCTCAGGAAATATAAAAAAGAGTTGAACAGCATCTGTGTTAACCACTAAAAGTTAGAAGTGATGTGATTGTGGTTCCCGTTTCCAAAAGGGAAGAATGAAAGGTCGTGGGAGGCTGCATTGCAGGAAGAAAAAATACTCATCTCGCAGGGTGCAAATAAACTCATGTTGAGACTACCAGGCAGGCAATGCTGGGGTTACATGGGGTACTTTTACTCGTCTCCATTTGAGATATGCACCTGGGGAGATAACCCCATCTCAAGAAATGGAACACTATGCGTAAGCTGATATTGTTTTTGTCCGCTGTGGCTCCTTTGCGTGGATGTGTCTCGGAAATGCAAGACACGTCTTTCAATCAATTACAAAACAAATGGCACTTGCATAACTACGTTTGAGTTTGTACTCGAGTACACTACCAAGTTTGTACAATTGAACAGGATTGGACGCACACGACTTAATGTTATTTCTTAAATATTGCAGCCTTGATCACTCACTTCCAACTTATTTTTTTTGCTGAAATAAAGTGTTATCTCCTTAAGGAACATGTTGTTATATTCAACAGAGCAATGCAATATAACCCAACAGTAAAAACATTCAAGTGCAGCCAAACAAGTCGCTTTGTTACGGCACACTACATAGCAATGTAAGCTTGTGAATTTTTATAATTTCTAAATTTACCTATTTTAATCAGCACAAAACTGTTAAAGAGTGGTTAAAGCCTAAGCCCACTGGAGTATTGTGTAATAAGCATGCCAAAAGAGAGATGCATTAGACCAATTACTAAGGACTGAAATATGTTGGCAAAACTACACATGCTAAAATGCTTCCAGGCACATTACAGTAAAAATAAATTGCACAACATACTACACACCATCAGAGCTAGAAAGCCGTGTATACATCTCTGATGCAGGTTTTTCTGTGCATTTTCACGTATGTTTTTTTGCAAAGTACCTTTTTGCATATGAAAATGCAAAGTGGTTTCCAATAAGTATTTGCATGTACAGTGAGCATTAACAATTGGTTGGCATGTTGTTGTAGTATTGGTTTTCAGCACACCTGCAAAAACAAACACCCGTTCTATAGAAAACAATGAAGTGTGACAGCTAAATGGAGCACAGCAGAAAGAGATGTCAACATCAGGAGACTTGTACAGTATCACTGTATTGTTTATCGACGTGGTCATTCCGCCCCCGGTGCCGTGGTGTCAGGTGTCATACAAGACATCTCCTGTAAGTGATGTATTAAAGGAAACCCGGTTCGGTTTTTTTTCATACGCACGTAAAAGGCACGCACGTCTATCGAAGCTTGAACTGCAGTGGAATGGGGTCAGCTAATGCTCCCAACTTTGGATCGGCGCCAAAAATGTTCTCTTTAGTGTTGAGTGCGCAGGGAATTAGTGGAACGTTTAAACTCCCTACGTGGGCTTTCGTTGCGAGTCAGACATTTTGTCAAAACCCAGCGCGAGCGCTCGTTTGAAGCCAGCAGTCGTGATGGGTCACCAAATTGTTATGCCAGATGAAGCAAATGCAGTTCCATGAACAGTGCCCCATTTTTTAAGCCACCTCCAAGGGACATCTCCACAGGTGTCAAGGGCCATGCGGAGGCCAGTCCTTGCATCTCCTAAGCAATCACAGTTGGCTCATTTGAGACTCCATTACACACGATCTAAATGTAGTTTACCGTCACTTAAAGAGAAAAGCCCTAACCTGCATGGCCACAGTAGCAACATAACCACTGTGCAGGTTACTAGATCACATTTGCAGACATTTTCACATTGGTATGACGACATCGACTGACATATAAGGTGTGGTGGGTCTGCTGTAAGCCAATACCAGGGGCCCACATTCTTAAGGAATGTCTTGAGCAGGTTTGATTACAGCCAAGGTTTATTCATGTTTTGCCCCATGACATCTAGGAGGGATGTGGGTCATGTGCAACTATTTTTAGCACTAAAACATGTGGTAACCCATTTGCCACTTACCCTAAGCTTGACAGGCTCTCATTTACCAAACTATTCCCTACAGCATTCACACTTACTCCAAGACAATCATTTTTTTATTGAGGAAAGATCTGACATGTACAACATGGAATGGGTTTTGTTATTTATTCTTGCATGCTACAGTCCAACATAACTTACATGAAAGGATTATGTGGTACGTTAGCAGTACAAAATGCAACATACCAATAGGTTACGTAACATTACAGTACATGAAGGGTTTTTTTTTAATTTCATCTGTCTGTAGTAGAGTACCTTGAAAGTATATCAGATTTGCAATAGTGCAATACAGTACAGTATGCGGATACGAGAGTAACAACAGACTGTATTTCTGATCTTTTTTTGAATGCAGTACCTCATTCTGATAAATCAATGGCAAAAAATCTTGCTTAAAAAAGTCAAGGAACCCCACTTGCTGCTTACACAGTTACATGTAACATTTACAGCCTACCGAGTTACATAACCCTTTTTTTATGTAATGCTAAAATGTTGCCTCTTCTTCAATTGGAATACCTTTCGAAGAAGCTCATACATTTTCTGTGGGTTAAATGATATCCTGATACTCAACAAAGGCCAGGCTTTTGAATTTATACATGTTCACCTTAAATGGGGGAAATGTCACCAAACTGAGCTGTATACACTTGAAATCTAATATGCTATAATAATTATTAAAAACACAAAATGAAGAATTAAAGAAAACTAACAAAACTATAATAACAAAGCTCCGTACGGATGCAGTAAGACACTGTACAACTTCACTTGGCCGTCATCATTTGCACGAACTCTGTAAGATAAAGCAACATAGGCTTCAAATTAATGGACTGCGATGTTTAAAATGTGGGTAGTCACTATACAGTGAGGGAAAAAAGTATTTGATCCCCTGCTGATTTTGTACGTTTGCCCACTGACAAAGAAATTATCAGTCTATAATTTTAATGGTAGGTTTATTTGAACAGTGAGAGTTCATAGTTCATAGTTCCATTTATTTGGTATAGCCCTGTGAGCCATTCGGCTCTTGAATCGGGTGCAACCGCAACAAACAAAAAACAAAAACATGAACAAGAAAACATCTTAAAGTGATTATGTGACTGTGCAAACAGAAAATCCAGGAAAAAAACATCAAAATATTCCAGAAATAGCACCGTACACCAACGCTGTGTGCAAAAATCCCAGTGGGATGCAAGTCAAACAACAACAACCACAAGACAACTAAGATTAAGGCCATCAGTCTAACGCCGTACCACAATAAACAAAAACATGGCCAAACCAAAAAACATTTTCGAAATCACCAAAATAAAGCCATAAATGCAATGTAACAGTGATCATAGGGACTGTGACCGAATTTTTTACAATAAACTACATAAATAACATGTAACAACAAACCCTAGAGCCATGGCTGGCTGCATGAGTCACTCCACAACAACAGGAGCATCAGTTGGAGTATCACATTTTTCAAAGCACCTTTAAGATCAGCACACTAAATCAAAATACAGTTAATACTTTGCAGCGGTCATCCGGAGTGAAACATTTATTTTATTTTAGGCCACTGAATAGCAGTGGCAGCTAGGGGTGTACAACTCCTCTAGAGCAGTTTTGAGTGAAGATCTCATAGGTAGTGATTCAAGTTGCAGTTTATTGGCAATAGCATTCCAGACCCTGGGGGCATCAATAGCAAAAGTCCTTCCTCCGGTTTTTATACGGCAATAGGGAATGTGAAGCTGGTAACTGAGCGAAGATCTGAGGTCAAATTTGTTCTTTGAAACAGAGAGGAGATCCAGCAGGTAGTCTGCAGATTTTTTTGCAAGTACATCGTGAATAAATAAGATCTGGTGCACAAGCCGTCGAACATTAAGAGATGTTAAGTTTGACCCAATGTAGAGATCACAGTGGTGAGTTCTATATGGGCAGAATAATAAAAACATCCAGAAAAACGCATGTCAAAAATGTTATAAATTGATTTGCATTTTACTGAGGGAAATTAATATTTGACCCCTCTGCAAAACATGACTTAGTACTTGGTGGCAAAACCCTTGTTGGCAATCACAGAGGTCAGACGTTTCTTGTAGTTGGCCACCAGGTTTGCACACATCTCAGGAGGGATTTTGTCCCACTCCTCTTTGCAGATCTTCTCCAAGTCATTAAGGTTTCGAGGCTGACGTTTGGCAACTCGAACCTTCAGCTCCCTCCACAGATTTTCCATGGGATTAAGGTCTGGAGACTGGCTAGGCCACTCCAGGACCTTAGTGTGCTTCTTCTTGAGCCACTCCTTTGTTGCCTTGGACGTGTGTGTTGGGTCATTGTCATGCTGGAATACCCATCCACGACCCATTTTCAATGCCCTGGCTGAGGGAAGGAGGTTCTCACCCAAGATTTGACGGTACTTGGCCCCGTCCATCATCCCTTTGATGCGGTGAAGTTGTCCTGTCCCCTTAGCTGAAAAACACCCCCAAAGCATGTTTCCACCTCCATGTTTGACGGTGGGGATGGTGTTCTTGGGGTCATAGGCAGCATTCCTCTTCCTCCAAACACGGCGAGTTGAGTTGATGCATTTTGGTCTCATCTGACCACGAAACTTTCACCCAGTTGTCCTCTGAATCATTCAGATGTTCATTGGCAAACTTCAGACGGACATGTATATGTGCTTTCTTGAGCAGGGGGACCTTGCGGGCGCTGCAGGATTTCAGTCCTTCACGGCGTAGTGTGTTACCAATTGTTTTATTGGTGACCAAGGTCCCAGCTGCCAAGAGATAATTGACAAGATCCTCCCGTGTAGTTCTGGGCTGATTCCTCACCGCTCTCATGATCATTGCAACTCCACGAGGTCAGATCTTGCATGGAGCCCCAGGCCAAGGGAGATTAACAGTTATTTTGTGTTTCTTCCATTTGCGAATAATCGCACCAACTGTTGCCACCTTCTCACCAAGCTGCTTCGAAATGGTCTTGCAGCCCATTCCAGCCTTGTGTAGGTCTACAATCTTGTCCCTGACATCCTTGGAGAGCTCTTTGGTCTTGGCCATGGTGAAGAGTTTGGAATCTGATTGATTGATTGCTTCTGTGGACAGGTGTCTTTTATACAGGCAATAAGCTGAGATTAGGAGCACTCCCTGGGAGCCAGAAATCTCTGATTGAGAGGGGGTCAAATACTTATTTCCCTCATTAAAATGAAAATCAATTTATAACATTTTCGACATGCATTTTTTCTGGATTTTCTTGTTGTTTTGCTGTCTCTCACTGTTCAAATAAACCTAACATTAAAATTATAGACCGATCATTTCTTTGTCAGTGGGCAAACGTACAAAATCAGCAGGGGATCAAATACTTTTTTTCCCTCACTGTAAGGGGGGCTTCTGCTGTCAAATTGCAGAAGCCTCCTGGCTGCTAGCTGACCAAGCAAACTTGGTGGACATGTCAAAAATATCCCACGCTTCGTAGGTTCATGATGCAACTACAGTGCATTCCCCCAGGCTGTGGTACAGTTCCCAACACGTGCAGCCGAAAAAGGGACATGCTAATACGTGCAAGATGTGCGTAATGGATCATGACAAGTGACTATATCGACTCTGAAACAATTTGGGAGGGGGCGAAGGAGAGGTGATGTACACACGCTTACAGCAATTTTCAACAAATGGTGTTGCTGATGTTAGTGGAGTGCATGCCCAACTTGCCTTCGTAGTTGACCTGCCCGTCCCCATCGATGTCGGCTTCCCGGATCATCTCGTCAACCTCCTCGTCTGTTAGTTTCTCCCCGAGGTTCGTCATCACGTGACGCAGCTCCGCCGCGCTGATGTAGCCATTTCCGTCCTGTGCCCGGGTGCACACAGGTAACCTCACATTTGCGCTCGCAGAGACGTGCAATGCTCGGCAACATCCGTTCGTGCCAATCTGAGAGAATGTTATTGATTATGTGCCAAACTGTTGACTGTCCAGAAAATCTATTTCAACAAAATGTTTCATTTAATTAGCTGCTATTCAATTCTGAATAATATTCGCAATCATTTTAATGAACACAAAATGTAATCTTAGGTCAGAGGATGTCTCGGCTACCATTTATAAATCAGGCTGCCTTGAAATGTATTTCATACTGCTAATTTTTACAAAGCTTAACGTTACCTACAGGAGGTTTACAATTACTTTGGCTCAAGATTACCATGCCCCATGAAACCACGATTATTACAGTAATCAGGATTTATACCTTGGAAACCAGAGCAGCTGAATCAGCAGACCAACAAAACAGCATGTTAACATTAAACCCAGACAACCCCACTTAACCCCACTGTGCAGACCTTGTCGAATACTCTGAAGGCCTCTCGGATCTCCTCCTCGCTGTCTGTGTCCTTCATCTTTCTCGCCATCATCGTGAGAAACTCTGGGAAGTCAATAGTTCCATTGCCTGCGAACACAAAGCAGAGTTAAACTGCATTTCATCTTAAAATGTGGTGCCTTCCGCCTTCAAGCATTTGCTTCTCCACTTGACATTTTGCTCCTGTGCAACACTGGTGGCAAAAGGACATGTGCAAACAACGGTCTACATTTAAAACAATCGGGAACTGTGTGCAAAAAACAAACAGGTGGTCGAGGTATGCAATAACCCCACACTTTTATCCTGCATGTGAAAATGGGAGTCAATAATTGTTATTGACACTTCGCATGGGGAAAAAAGATCCGCATGTCTGCAACATGACATTGTTCAAACTACAGACCCGCAGGGTGACAGAAAGGAATGGCAGTGAGGGCTTGCCGGGCAAGGTTACTTTGTAAAAGGTTTCTCAGGGTACTAATTAGCAGCTTCAGACCAGCCGGGGTTAGTCACGAGCTCTGCTCAAACCAGGCCCCAACATGTGGTTGTACACGTGCCATCTACACTATCGCTGGTGGGGCATCTGGGGACGAACGGAGGCGTGTTTTGCTTAGGAAAGTCACCACGCCCACACACAGTTATTGATTTTCGAACATGTGGAATGTCTCTTTTTTTTGCAGTATCCTTCATTTGAAAATATGACAAACTTCAACACCTAATGTTTGAAATGTAACAGCACATTTGAAATGTAAATTATGGTAAACAAAGTGGAAAGAAGTATAAACATGATAATTACACAAACATAAATACGAAAAACTGGACTAATAAACAGTACCATTTCATAAATGGTGCATGGTAAACACCAAGCATATGGGTAAATCGTATGGTCAGTGTTCGCAGGGCAAGGCAGCTCAAAGGCGAGGGGGGACCCAGGGTTCTGTACCATCAGCGTCCACCTCGTTGATCATGTCCTGCAGCTCCGCCTCCGTGGGGTTCTGTCCCAGCGACCTCATTACGGTGCCCAGCTCCTTGGTGGTGATGGTGCCATCGCCATCCTTGTCAAACAAGGAGAACGCCTCCTTGAACTCTGTTGACAACAAGGTAGCCATGCCATCGCTTCAGAGTGGAATGGGTGTTGTGACTCAGGGGTGGTTTGTTTGTGACATTTACCAATTTAAACTACAAAAGTACCAGAGGCAAAACTGAAAACTTACCAGCAATCTGCTCCTCAGTGAGTTGGTCTGCCTGAAGAAGAGATGAACAAACATCGGCTTACTTTAAATACAAACTTTCGCCATAATTTAATTTAGTATTTAACTGCAATTGACAATTTACTTGAGTCTTTTGAGAATAGCGTCAACGCGTTGCTGTGTTTTAAAATTCACATTTAAGCCACATCAAACTACTGTGTACTAAATAAAATCCAAGTACCGTCATTACTGTGTTAATGATTAGAACAAATTGTTCAGCTAAACGTTGTTCAACAAGTTAATTAGTAACTAAACTAAGCTAAAACCTAAAATGACAGTTTTGAAGTTATTATGTTGCAATTTGCACTGAGATATGTGAAAGTGTGGTAATCTATTACCATTGAGGTGCACACAGTACGGGACAACACAACAAGCAAAGCATCTTTAGGGACCACCAACCAGTAAATTAGGCAGCGTATGATGCACGGCAACATGTCGATAGAGTAGCTCTGTATGGTGAAGCCTTCACATAAAATACCAGCCTGCTGTATCCTGATAGGTATATCTCGCAGTACTTTGCATTGGAACCTGCACATACCATTCAATTCAATTCCCCTTTTGAGTTGCAATGAAATTCGATACTCGGCGACTACGAATGTGAATGTAATTAATTCGGTCAAGGCATCGTGGTATGTACACTGAACTGTGCTTCAGTGCTCTTTATACTCAAGAAGCGTTGTTTATACGAGGGTATACAGTAGATGGTATCCATGGGTTAAAATGAGTAGCTTTTAGGTACAGCGGCCAGACACACAAACGCACACATACGAAAGCAATTTTTTTCTCAATGACAGGAAAGGGCTTCATAGCCGAGTTACATGCCCCCACAACTGCTGTACAAAACACGTATCTTTTTTTATAATTAACTTTTTGACAGCATTATATGACGCGTAAGTGCTTTGCAATTCTGTCAATTAAACTTTAGCTTGTCATTTTTTTTTTCCAATTTAACCGTTTAGTTTACGTAAGTCCATGAAAACGTGGTACTTGGAACCAGTAAAATCCTTCCCATCCCAGAAGCAACAAGAGTGCCTTGAAAATATAATTGAGCGTTGCAAATCAATCACCGCAATAACCAGAATTAAGTTTATTTTTAAGTAAACCAAATAAAGGCATGCAGCTTGCAGCACCACACTGACAAACAACGGTTACAACTTACGCTTGTGGTGTCCTTAATTTTTATGCAAAGTGGGAAATCGGGGTGACAGTAGCAACAAAGCATGGCAGTTCGTTATGACTTAAAAATGTTTAATAATGTTACTTATTATAATAAGGCTCACTTTATACTTTGCCGATCCCGAAAACCCCAAAAAACAAAAGAACTAAAAAAAAATCCCCAAAAGGTGGCTTCATAACGACTCGAGGCACTGAAATGCATACGTGCTGTGGGTGCGCAGACTGGCAGGCATGGTGGTTGGGCGGGAGGTTGGTTGGCTGCATTAGGTTAATGAATTTGTCTAATAACTCTTGGGCTTCGGTTTTTTTTGTTGCTTTAAGATTTTATTAAGTGCGTGCTAGCCGCTCTGGCAGATAACAGATTCCTTGGTTCTGGGCCAGGAGGCCCTCAATTTTGGGCCCACATTCGAGAGAGCTTGGCCACAGGCTGGCAACCGGCCAGGTGGCGCATCCAATTTGAAAGCGTAATGAATTCGCGTCACTTGATTTACAGAGCCATTAACATCCACATCTATATATTTTTTCAATACATATTTGTTATCATTTTATCACTTTTAGTATCCATTTTTTGTAATTGCGCTCGTCCGCGCTCACGTAACCGTCGTGGTTTTTTTTGGGATGTCTCAAAATTGGAGCGGTTAAGATGACATTTGCCAGTTCAGTTTGCCATCTCCCATATATATTTTACTTTTAAAATAGTATATTTGACTTTCCTTCCCCCTGTGTTTTAATGTTACCGTCATTTGTTGCATTAAACAGGGCAGAAGGGAGGAAAAAAACGCCCGATCGCAATTACGTCAACGTACGGTTTAAAAAAAAAGGGACGTGGCTAAATAAATAAAATACTATCTAACCAAAACGCAACCACGTACTGTGTATAAATATATACGCATAACGCTGCATATACACACACACGCAAACACACACTGCACATCGTACATGAATCGTGTTAATATCCGAGCGAGGGATGGCAGTTGCACCGATGCAACAAGCATCGTGATCGATAACATCCACCAACAACAGTATCGTAAGTAAAAAAAATATTTAATCCCAACACGATCGTACGTCCAAGTAAAACCTAGAAAAATAAACCGTTCAGCAAACAAATTAAACCCGAAAAAACACACACGCGAACACGAACTTTAAAACGGCACCGACTTTACCCCCCCCCCCCCATAAGCAAACAAGAACGTTTCACATACAACACCATATATGTGTAAATGTAATATAGTAGTTGTTCGTGGCAATAGAAATGAATGGCGGCGCGGGGTGTTGAAGAGGCGAAGTGGCGGTGCGGGTTAGCTGCTGGCGCAGCCTCTTACCATGCCTGCCGCTGCTGCTGCTGCTTGTGCTGTCTCTCGCTCGCTACTGCTGTAGCCGCTTGCTAGAACTACTACGACTGCTGCTGCTGCTGCTGCTTCTACTACTGCCGCTTGCTCCTCTTGCTTGCTTGCTTGCTGCTGTAGCCGGGGCCGCACGAACGCGAGAGTTGTCGATTCTCGTCTCCTCCTCTTCCTCCCCCTGCCCTGCCTCGCCTCTCTCCCTCCCTCTCCTATGGGCTCCCTCGCTCGCTCCGCCGAGGTGTCTCGTGCGCCACCCACCGTTCTCTCGCTCGCCCGCACCCACAGCTCGCACCCCAGCTCGCACCCACAGCTCCACCCCAGCTCGCACCCACAGCGCCACCCCAGCTCGCACCCACAGCTCCACCCCAGCCCGCACTGCTGCTGCGGCTGCTGCTGCCACCGCCGAGGGCGCGCGCGTGGTGGGGACCCACGGCCACCACCTGACCGAGTTATATGTCACAATAATAAAGTGTTAAAGCTTTCGTGACTGCATAAAATTACTCATTGTTTTTTTTTCGGTAAAGTCACGTATGTAGAAATACAATAAAATTATATTAACCATTGAGTGTATGTCACAATCTTTAATTAGACTGTAAGATTTCGATTTAAAGCTTTCGTGACTGCAGGGGTTCATCTTCTTGGTTCTTTCGGTAAAGTCACGTAGAATGGAAATAAAATAAGAATACATAATATTATTTTTTATTATGTTTTATTATTTTATTTCCATTCTACGTGACTTTACCGAAAGAATCAAGAAGATAGACTGTAAGAATCCGATAAGCTGGTAAGCTCTTTTTCACAGATGTCCAGTATTTTCAAAGATGTCCAGTATGTTAGCACTTTTTCAGAAGTTTTGGAACACCCATTGCTGGAAGCAGAAATAACCTGGCTGAGAAGGATTATGGCAGTACCGATATTACAAAAGGAAATGAGACGAAAGGAAAAAGCTGGGCCAGCAACAGACTTTAGTGCACCACGCTGATCAATACCGGTCAGGTATATATGTATATTGAACTTATGTCGCATCGTACACATCCAACAGTGCTAATCGGAGGTGCGGCTAATCGGAGGTCAGTGCGATTGAAAGGCGGAAGGAAGGTGAACGTGGGAGCAGAAAATGTTTTAGTACAATAAAGAGTTTAGCTTCAGTGCCCTCTGCTGCCCATCACCAAGCCCTGAAGTCTTTAATGATCTGATGGGCATGGAGCTCACCCATTGAAGCACTGTCCGGGCTCAAGCCTGCTTAGTTTCTGAGAACTGACAGGCACATTCTAGGGCGATTTGGTCACAGACACAAGCAATTCAAGTTCGATTTTGTTCGTGTTTAGAAAACTGTTTTATTGATTTATTTATATAACTCGGTACGTAGTGATAATGATGATGGCCACAATCATTATCATTATTGTGAAGATAATCATGATCATTCTTATGATGATCTCTTTGCAATCTTTCTGAAACAAACGTGGACCCATGTGAGCACACTTACCGACGACGAAGTGACGAGAGAAAGTGGTGAATTGGGGGTGGAGTGGGGGGGGGGCGCAAGGAGGGGTTGATTTTTTTGTTTTTGCGCGGCAAAAAGCGCGCTTCGCGAGCCCGAGTGGCCGCCGGGGAGCGTGTTCCACCACGCGCCGGTTATAACGTGGGCGAGGGTGGTGCCGGTTATAACGTGGGCGAGGGTGGCGCCGATTATAACGTGGGCGAGGGTGGCGCCGATTATAACGTGGGCGAGGGTGGCCCGGGTTATAACGCGGGCAAAGCAGCGCGCAAGTCAGCGGCCGCCAGTTAAAATACATTTGGTGGAATTGTATTTGGTGCCTAAGACAATTTGTTTTAATATAAATGTTATACATGGACCTACTTACATTTTGGAATGAGTGATTTTTTATCGACCTCATGTGGCAATTTAAAACGGTTAACCTCCATCAATGAGTTGTGTGCAACGTTTTACTTTGCTCACGCTCGCCTCATGTCCGATGGGTTTTTTTAACAATTATCCCCCATGATCATGGCACGTTCATCGCTGCGGTGTTTGTGTTGTTTTTCTTACTGTCAACTTACTATGAATGTCAGATCACCTTTGCAACAAAAAAAAACAATCCTCAATGTTGTCTCACTTCGTTCAAATGACTGCACCCCAGTCGATTTGCATACACCTACACAATACATAGTTACAGTTCATGTCGTCTTGGTGGCGTTCGGAGGAACGCATGTTGCACAGCAAAAGTTAAACTTTTGTTCGGTATTTTCACGAGCGCAGATGTTATGTCATATCCCGTAAAGCAACGGCCACGTGCAGTAACAAACAGGAGTCGAACCTGGGTGAGTGAAGCAGTGTTGTTGTCAGATCCGGAATGGAAACATACCAGGTTAAAAACCAACCCAAAATGCCCCTTTATGAGATCCTTAACTGACGTGTTTTGATAAAACTATGCTTTCAAATGTACCAGACATTGACGAAACAACCTTAAAACTATATACAAATATATGCACCCCACCAAGAAAATATACTGACCATGATGAGGTTAAGGGATTTAAAACACCACACTTTCAACGTGTTCACACAAAAAATAATTAAATAAGTCTGGGGAAACCGTTATACTTGGGAGGTAAACCCGAATATAATCTGTCATAGCTACCTCTTAAGCCTTCAAGCTGAGAAATAAGACATTCTAGCAAACAGAAGCCGGACATTTCTAAAGACGAGGGGAGAGGTGGTGGGGTCCACCTACGGTTTAAATCACATTTAAATTAAGTACAATAAACAGCGTTGGTATTTGTCGTCGCTACGATTGTATTTTAGCGCACGCACGTGTGTCTGTGTAGTATAAGTCGTTATTTACACACAAGCTGTGTGTGTGGAGCATCAAAGAAGGAGGGGATGGAGGCCGCGTCTGCAATGTGCCAAAGTGCTGGCGACCTTAAATACATGATATACTCGCAAGCTTTCTCGATGTCACTCACTCTTATATATCATTATATTATTATGCGACGCATTGCCCACATAGTGAACATTCCATACATAGCAGTCTTATTCCGCGTGCGCAGCATACGTTGATATGAATCGTTCCATCCGCAACATGGTGCATTGTTTATGCATTTAAGGTCGTACGTTATTTGCCCAGAATAACCGCGTAACGTATATACGCTGCATAGGATACTCTATATATTATAGAATGTAATAACACCTTACATTGGTGTACAGTACTACGTCTAATATGTGTGTATATCGAGATTGATGTGGTATGTGTCGCTTGATTGCTGTGTAGCGGATGTGTTGTTATATTGCAATGGATACAGAGCGAATTACTTATGCAGGATGTCATGGACTACAATTTGAAACCTTTCTGCTAGTATTGTGCAGTTTGTTTGCAAGTTTACTTTGCCTATTCCGGTTCAGATAATCGCCCCTAGCCCATCGTTGCAGCCCAAAACAAATCACGAGGTCGTCACGTGGATGGCAAGGGATGAGATGAAGGAATATTACATACAATACACTTCAACAACAACACGACACACGTGCAGGACACCTCCATTCCACTTTCAATCTCACAATGGATAACTAAATGACAATAGGAACAATTAAGCAAATTAATTGTTTCGTGGTCAATTTGACGATGATGTGTGCTGTGTGCAACGTTTGTGCAATATAATTGGCAACAGTTCTCACTCGCTGCTGCGAGGCAATTAAACCCCTGCAGCCACTAATGGGGCTTTGAACAGAACTTGAATCTTAAATAAACTTGAAGAGAAGTGGCACCTCAATCAGGGCCAATGCGAGATACGAGTTAGAGCCAACCCCGGTGCGATTCGGTTTCCCGACTTCATTCTGTACGTGCACGTGCGCTAATTTCTGTACAGGTGTGATACATTGCAGCTATAAAACGTTACGTAATTTTCTCTGCTAATGTGATCATCAATATCACATGGTCATTCCATATCACGATTACAAACCACGTGGCATACAACAGGTTTCGTGTATGCATTGGATTTCAATAAATTCTGTGCAGTCATTAACGTTTTATAAAGAATTTCATGGCTTCATTTAAAAAGCAATAGCCCATTTCAACGACAATTTTCTTACAATAAATCAATTGGGTAACCTGCACAAGATAAAATGTGCAGTGGAATGATTGGCGTGGTGAACGGTGCATTTAAACAAAATATCAAACCGTTGATGTAAATTTATATTTGTATAAGACATGCTTATGAGCATAATTTTCCCTTGTTTAAATATCTATATTAAGTGCGTCGTACTTGTGACAATCGTGCTCAAGTCTTACATGGGGCCGTCAGAAAATTAATGGGCTCTGGCTCATGAATTAATGTTGCTACTTAGTCGGTCGTGGCCAATGCGGCATATATCTGCAGCTGTTATTTTAATACACGAATGCGTTATCAACGTTCAGCTTGCCTCTGCTGTGGACGTGACAACGTGCCACTCAATTAGTGATGACTCGATCGTCGGGAAATCATTTCGACAAGGTGTCCTCATACCAACAACACATTTGAACTGCATAATGAGGTCAGGAATTTCATCCTTTTGCAAGTGTGCGTTAAAGGCCCGGGGCGCGCGCATATGTACATGGTGTTTTAGCGCCCCCTGCCACACGGGGTTGGTATGTTTGTAGAATGTGTTAGTGTGAAATGCTCCGTATTATCAAATTGCTGTTCAAGTTTCAAGTATTATTGTTGAGCCGGATGAGAGAACTCAAGACACCACAAAAGTTTGAATTTGCAAGGGTGGCCCTGGTCACCAACATGATAAAGGCAAAACGAATGAAATATATAACAAGAATATAAATAACAGTCAATAAAATAAAGTAGAGCAAACTCCAGGGTTAAAAAAACGCAAGTGTCCATACGTTCTGTGCCAAGCAACTTCATGCGGTGGCAGCAGTGAATGCTGGCTACTTGTTTATTGATATGGGAAGAGTGTAGATTTTTTTTTTATCTGGGAGTTTTGGCTATCCCCTGCTCTAAACAGAATTCCTCAAGAATGTGGCCTCAGGTGCACCCCAGTCTCCAATGTGAGATGTGGTTCGCCTTTGATTTTAATTTGATTCCAGCACAGTTGAGTAGTTGCACAAATCACATTTCAATTCACGAATACACGATTGTATTCCATAAGAGGCAAACTCATTGCCCCGGTTATTTTATTTAAGAGGTCAAAGTGACCCAGAACTCTCTATTTGTTCAATGCAAATCTTTACTCTGATTAACGCGCTGAAGTAAAAAGATAGGATTCTGAATATTTTTTTCTTCTGATGTTTTGTATTTTGAACAAACTACCTCAATTAGAGGCAGGAACAGAAGAGACAGGAAGAGTAACACATCGATTAGAAGACATACGGAAAGTTACGTAAATCATTTTGAATGTAGAAAAAACGTAAATTGGTTTTGGGCATAACACACAACTATAAGGAAAAAATGCCTGTTGTCAAGAATAACGACAGAATAGCAGAGGGATGGAAAAAACTTCGAGTGGTCTTCACCAAGCAGTTAATAGATAATGGCTGATTATCAAGACTTTAGTGGAGTCGAAGAATATAAACTATATAAGAACTATATTCTTAGTTCTTTCGGTAAAGTCACGTTGAAGGGAAACAATAACATAATAATATATATAAAACAATAAAAATTCTCACGACGTTTCGACCATAACACAAACGCTTTGTGTTATGGTCGAAACGTCGTGAGAATTTTTATTGTTTTATATTTTTTTTATTATTTTATTGTTTCCCTTCAACGTGACTTTACCGAAAGAACTAAGAATATGAATTACTGCAGTCACGAAAGCTTTAAATCCAAATTTATATCAGAACTATTGCGCATGTATTAAGCATGTTCTATTCAGAATGAAAATAATTCACATACTGAATAAAAAAATGCATACGGATTAGAACAATGTTAATGATACGGTACATGCACCTTGTGTGTTAATATTGAAGCTATTAAAGTATTGTCAAACTGCATGTATTAACTATTTCTTTAAATAATGTAGACATTGATCCTCTGGGTCATAATTATCTAAACATATTATAACATTCGTCCAAGTGTCTATTTTTAAAGTTGAAGTTGTTTTTTGACCTCTGTGCACACAACTCTCATATTTATGGTTGTTTATTGTTTGCTTAATTCTCCAAAACTTACCCATGTGTGAAATTTTCAGTGCCGGTCATTAAAGTGCATTACTCTGCCTGGGGCGTTTTCGCAGAGGTGAGGTCATTTCATTGGCCCACCCTTCTGCAATTTTTCCATATGGGCGCGAGGCAAGCCAGTGGCTCCTGGACCTATGGGGACACAGCTGGACTGTAGGAATCAAGACCGAACTGTGGAGCACAAAGCTGAGCCATTGTGAGACAATTCGTTGAACTCTGGAACAATCACCTGGACTTTAGCCATAACTCGTGGTTGGAAATGTGAGAAACTCAGCTGGACTGTGAGACACAATACTGGACTGTGGAACAAATGTTTATCCTGTAAGACACTTAGTTGCCCTCTGGAAAACTCATCCGAACGGCGGAACATTGAGTTGAATTGGAGAACATATGGCTGGATTGTGAAACTCAAAACTGGACTGTGGCTGTTCCATGAAGCCAATTATTGGCCTGTGAGACAGTCACCTGGACGGAGCATCGCGTGGCTGGTCTGTGGAGCACACGGGAAGCCCCGGCAGAGGGAGACAAGGAAGAGGGAGCGGGAGACAAGAACTGTGTTTGGGCAATGGGGACCCATGAGGGTTGTAGCACACGGCTGCTGCTCATCACCACATTCTTCTGGGTTTCATTTGTGATCGTGGTCATCGGTGTGCCAGGTAAGAGGCACAAATCAAATAATATTTGACACATGTGAAGTGCCTACAATTGTTGGGGGCATTTAAGCAGATAAAGTGGTCATGGCTTTTTTTTATTTTACCCAAAAACTTCACCTGCTGTTTATTATAGTCAGTTATTGAACGATGCAGAGCTATCATAAGGTTAATTTAATAATTTGTCGCTCATAAAATGGGTTCGTTGTAAAGTTCAGTACGATGTGAATCTGTGCTCAGTCATAAACAGTATAATGAATAAATGCAACATCCCAAGATGCTGTGCAGAACGAGTCGTGACAAGGAAATGTGAATGTTTTATTGAATGTTATGTCGAGCAGCTGTGATTTAAGTGGTAATTGTACGAGATCAATATACTTTTGCAGTTGCATTCCCCAAGCAGTAATTCATTATAAAGTACATGCAATATAATTAACTTTTTTGCTGTTTTAATAGCTTGGGTGTTTTATTTATTTTTCTAGCTGCGATCCCATCATTAACACTATGGAGTCTTTACAACATGTAAAAAAACAATGGAATTGAGACAGAAATTGCGTCTTGGAGTACCACTTATGTTTCCAACTTTGAATCGGGTTCACCAGCACGACATTGTCAGGGAAATGTAGTCACTGGAATAAATCCACCCCATAATTTTACAGTCAACATGTATAAATGAACATGTAGTTATGTTCTGTACTCGGGTGCACTGATGGCACAGTGATGATCGCACTCCACAATGAACCAGACTACCCGAGTTCAATTCACCAACTCCGCACTGAAACCAAACGGTGCAGTCTGGTCAAACAGCCCCATGACTGACATGGTGTGTGGGGAGGCTTTTATCCTGTCGAGAATTAACAAAGGGCTGTATATTTTAGATGTATATACACTCACACCCTAGGAATGCTACTCACTTCTCCCATGCAATGTGAAAATACCTCACATTGCATGACCCTTCGTAATGTATGACTCAGGCCATGTCCACAGTGTGACTTGCAGCGGTGCATTATGCACACTGCAGTTTCGTGAATGCTTCTGGCTTCTGCAGCCATGAAATTATTGTGTTTATGCTAAAGGAACTGCATGTACCTTGCCTGTCACTAATGGGCTCCCCATCTCCATGGAGACCCCCACCCCTCCGCAATTGTGGGTAGCACTCATGAACTGCTTGACACAAGCCGTTATCTCGTGGATAAGTACCAGACTGCGAGTCCTAAGCTGGCCGACGCAATTGTGATGCTTCATTAATAATCAGAAAACAAAAAAGACAAAGTTATAGTCCAGCACACAGCCACTGCGCCCTCGTGACCTCGATACCGGACCGTACACATTTTTGGTTTTTATATTTTTTCTCTCTCTCTCTCATTCGCGAATCTTCAAACTAGCGTGAAACAACACAGCCTTCCGAAGTAACACACAAAATAAGAGCTAATTATTTGTGTGCGCAGGGTGGGCAGGTAAGCGCGGGCAGGCGGGCGGGGTTTGCTGCGTTTCGCCCTCTGCTTGAAATTCCAGAGTAGTCGCTCACGTGTCTGTGTGTGTGTGTGTTTGTGTGTGTTTGTGTGTATCTGTGTCTGTGTGTGTGTCTTTGTGTGTGTCTGTTTGTCTCACGTGCCCCCCCCCCCCCCCTTGGCGTGCGACTCTGTGCCACTCCAAAGACGACGAGTGCCCGGACACCAACCCGGCGAGCGAGACCTGCGAGTACGACGAGGTGTGTGACGAGGCGCGTTGCAAGTACAACGAGTACGCCACCTGCCACCCCAACCGCTGCGGCACGTGCGAGGCGGTGTTCCGCAGCTACGACCACGCCATGGTGAACTGCACCCGGCGTAAGACGCGCACGTGCGCAAACCCGCGTGGGGCCACGCGCGGTGCCTCTGTACAGCTCCCACTGTGTCACTTGCCCTGCCTTATATACAGGCCAACCCAGACCATTCGTTGGTCACCCCGTGCCCGTGTGGATCGTCGCAACGTTCATCCTACGAAGTCCCATCGCAAGAGAGAAACGTAAAGGAAATTGTTTTCTTGTGTCCGTATTTGAAGTCGGATGTAGGCCGTATGGGGCCGTCCATAAATGACGTCACGGAACTAAGGGGGGGCGGAGGGGGTGGTCAGACATTTGTGACGATGTGTGACAAGGGGGGGGGGGGGTTGAGAAATGTGACGTCACATCAAAATGCGCAACTTTAAATAAATATAGACAACACGTTCTACTTAATTAAATATACTTTTTTTAAATAATGTTTTCTCCTACAACATCAGAATGCAGCGCCACATTAAATACGCACTACAATGACAATAGTTTAAAGCGATTTGAAGGATGTTTTTTTGGGAGGGGGTGCAGAGCTTTGTGACGTCATATTTGAGGGGGGGGGGGGGATCTGACCTATTGCGACGCCGTGTGACGAAGGAGGAGGGGTCAAAAATCGTTCAAAATCGCGTGACGTCATTTATAGACGGCCCACTATGGACCTGAAAAGTCAATTTCCCTGTACAAGAATACGGATAGACCGTGTGGGTTGACAGGCATGCACTATACACTTCACCGGGGACGTGCGGTCAGGGGAGGCAGGGTAGGCAGAGCCTCATCTGTCAGACTCCAATGAAAATAGCTGTTACGAAAAGTAAAAAAAAAGAATAATAAAATCAAATAATTATTAAGATTTTTCCACTGATCTGTGTTATAAATGTCATTTCTGTACGATTCCAATCATTTTTAGAGTCAAAATCGCCAAATTTGCAGAGCTCCAGGTAACTTATTTCACGTATGTGTATAAAGATATTTAGGCTCGCTGGTCTCGTCATGAAACGGCAATGAAAAAGCACCAGGGGAGGCAGCTATCACATCTGCCTCACTGAGGGGGGGCGTGTTTAACACGCCCCCCCTCCGTGAGGCCACGCCCCCTCCATGAGGCCACGCCCCCTCCATGAGGCCACGCCCCCCTCAGTGTGTGAATCTGACACTAGCCAGTGCCTCCCCAGCTAATGACCTCACCGTACGTCACTGCACTACACTACTATACCACTACACTACTATACCACTACACTGCTATACTTGTCAATCCCTTGTCAGTGCCTGCCTTATTACAGACCAATTCAGACCTTACTGGTCACCCCGTGCCCGTATCAATCTAAACGTTCATCCTACAAAGTCCCATCGCAAGAGAGAAACATAAACAAATTATTTTTTGTGCCCGTATTTGAAACGGTTGTACGTCGTATGGACCTGAAAGCCCAATTTTCCCTGTACAAGAATACGGGTAGACCGTATGGGTTGAGAGGTATGCCAATGTCGTGTCGTGCTGCTTTGGAGGGCATATAGGTTGGTGGGTGGCCAGGGCTAACAGGGTTCAGCCCACATCAAACCCATCGCAGACCAGCGCGCATTATTCAAGCACAGCCGAGGCACAGTGAAATCTCCTCTCGAAGCCGGATTCGACGGGGAAAGTGCGCAGTGTCATCACGGGCAGAGCGTGCCGTAAGTAGTAAGACTGATGGCGATCGGTTAACCAGTGTAAATGAACACATTATTTAGTGTAACTGGGTCGGCAGTGGTGCACATCGCTAGATGTTAATGGTTTTATTTGGCCATGTAATTTAGTTTACTTGTATGCATGTATGTTGAACTTCTTTCGCACCATACGTAACCAACAGTGCTAATTCAGACAATGTCCAAAAACGAGACGGCACAAAGCCACGGAGCAGGTGGTGGATTGACACAATAGGTGAACCCGTGCCCTTGGGTGTTTCTGTTACCACGTGACCTGCATCACCTCCGATTAGCACGCTTGACCACGTACGGTGCGAAAGAAGTTCAACATACATCGAAGTGCCACTCTTGTTTGTGGACATTCATTTATATGTAATAAAAAGTATATATTAAAAATGTTTTTCTTCTATTTCAGCCTTCGAAAAATGTACTTCAGCCCTTGTAGAATGTTTTCACCTGCTGCATATTCTGTAGGGTGGTGATTTAATTAATAGCCCTGGTGGCAGTGGAGACAGCACACGTGCTCCACATCCTTGAGCCTACCTCTCCACTCTCACTAGAATGCCCTTTTAGATTCCTCTTACACCGTAGGGCCATGCGTGCTGCTGTCCACCCACACCCCGGTCGTGTGCCGTGCCGGCCTACATAGGTGCTGCTCACAAAAAGCTCTTGCCCCCAAAAAGTATGTTAAGGCTACACGGTGGGGGGGGGGGGGAGGCGGTGATGGTTGGGGGGGGATCTTTCTCTTCTTTGTCCTTTGCAGTGACCCCCAAGTGTCGCCTCATGCACCTGGAGATGCTGCACAACCGTCAGAGCGCGGCGGGGAGCAGTGCCAGCGACGAGGTGTGGGACCTCGTCGACCTGGACGAGCCCTTCGAGCCCTCCTGCCACTCCAATGGCTCGTTCCAGTCCAAGCAGTGCGACAGCGACTCGGGGCTTTGCTGGTGTGTGGACAGCGCCGGCGTCCGCGTCACTGACAAGAAGGTGGACGGCCCGCAGTGCGTGCGCCTCGTCCAAGTGCAGTAAGCGTTGCGTTGTTGCGCATCCGTACTGGACTCAGATTTAAAAAAAAAAAATGTATTTCTCAAATTCTGCTTCATGCACATGCGTACCGGCGGAGTCCGTGACGATTTATGACAATGACCCTGTGCGCAAAGCGTGGGACGGTGTTATGATTGTGGACTTATCAATGCTTGTACGTGTGCGTTTGTCCAATCTACTGGATGATGACGGCCTTTCCACGCCGTGCGGGTCGTAGGGTTTATTTGACCATACTTCTTTGGCGCTGCTCTGGGCGGATTAATGAAGTTGGGGATTACAGACGTGGCCGCATAGAGTGCAGTCTGACGCTATAATTTTCTACACTCCCCTCTGCTAACCACAGTGCAGCAACAGTCCTGCAACCGCCCATGAGAACCTGGCATACACGGCGGTCACCCATCCAAGCGCTATCCAGACTCAACCCTGCTTAGTTTCCGAGATCGGCACTTAAGCAAGCGCAATAAGGGATGAAGATCTCGTAAAAAAATATAGGGACTTAATCTGTTATATATGTAATTGGTCTACTGTGAGTTTTTAATTTGGTCCCCTTCAAAGTAGTTGTCTTCTACACGAATACATCGCTGCCAGCGATTGGGGGTTGCTTTGTGGAAGCAATCTTGTAAAGCCTTCGCGCAAGAAGTATATTAGTTGCCTCATGATGTTCTTAAAAGTCCTCAACATTCTCAAAATTAATTCCTTTCAAAGTGCATCTTATACACTGCCCTCTCTGCATGGTGCACTTTCACCACGAGAATTCAAAAGTTGTCAAACTCATGTATACAGGGCCGGCTTGTGTCATCATTGCCCTGCTGGATCACACCACCGGGTGTACAGAAAACTGGTAATGGGATAAAAATGATAATTGGTCAAATTAAAAATAAGATACCATCTGTTGATTTTTAATTACAAAAAAAATCAACAAACAAAATTATTCACTAAACCTTGTATTTCGAATAACAATGGTGATAAGAATAGTAATTGCCAATTTCTTATTACACACGTACACATTATACAAATTGTTGTGAGTGATAACAATGGTGATGGTGGTGATGACAGTCTCATACAGATTGACTTGGAGTTTGGAGATGACACGAACAAAATTATTCTGGGGAGAACACCTGAACTAAAACGGTATTGCTGCAGTCACACGCCACACCATAATTGACTCACGTTACATACTAAGCTGTTTGATGATGCTGTTTAGGATTCCGCCCATTCCAGATTTTCCATTCGCATTCACTGTGTGTGATTATCCCCACTTACGCAGACGAGTGGCAGAAATGATGGTGAGAGAATACACGATTAAGAAGAGCCAGATTTTAGAAATAAGCGTAAGTTTAATGTTTCTCTACACTCCGAATGTTTGTAAATCACTAATGCCACAGTTTATCCTAGAGATTATGTTCACATTGCAGCTGGTTAGACATGCAGCCGTACACATACACACGCTAATATGAGCACGATTCTGTCCAAAGGTGAAGGAAAACCAACTGAAGGTGTCCATCAAGATCAGTGAAAACAACACGAAGGAGCCTGTGGACATCGCCACAGTGGCATACTACGTGGAACGGGACGTAAGTGATGATAAATACAACTCTAGGTTTTCCTTCAGAAGAATAAAATGGGACTGCGCTATCTGACTGTGTCAGTCATCGATTACTCTACCGATTACCACTGTGAAGGGATGTCACGAGCAGAAATTGGTGACATCATCAGCTGTGTCACGCTGGCAAAAAAAAAACTCAACATATTCGTCAATAACTATATCTTCAAAGAAAACAAATGTTTTGCGCAATATTTTAAGGCAGTATTATTGACAAATGTATTGAGTTTGTTTTATTATTAATTGTGCTTGGGCACCACTGCCAATGCAGCATTGCCGTAAGATGTGTGTCACGCTGAGCGTAACTTGTAAGCCAGATGCATTCACCAAGTAATCAACCGCATAAATATATATTGTTGATTACAATTTTAACTTCTTAGATTTAATCATGCGAGCTTTAGGATCATCCCTTTTTTCTCTACACCTCCGTGAGACCGATGTTGCTCGTTCTCCCTCACTCCGACTACAACAGATGCGACCATTCACACCGCTGGGGATGTGAAAGTGTTGTTGAGCCTGCCGGGGGTGGCAAGGCAAAGGGCCGCGCTGATCCCAACGCAGTTTAACACGAAGCAGGCTTCCGCGACCAATATTATCTCCATATATATAAAAGGCAAAGTTGTGATTATGTGTGTCTGTTCAAAATGTTTAGCGTACTTCCCGACATGCAACAAACTTGAAATTTGCTATGTGGGTACTTTCCAGACTGTACACCATGCAAAAATTATTAAGAATACACTTATATATATATTTTTTGGGGGGGAGCTCAATAATGCATATATTTTTTGCACGGCAAGTGAGCTGTGACGTCAAATCTGTCATGTGACCCGCGCATGTGGAAGCATAACGCATCGTAGTGTAGTGGTTAGCGCGCTGTGTGTGTGTCTGTGTGTATGTGTCTGTGTGTGTGTCTGTGTGGAAGCGTAACGCATTGTAGTGTAGTGGTTAGCGCGCTGTGTATGTGTCTGTGTGTGTGTCTGTGTGGAAGCGAAACGCATTGTAGTGTAGTGGTTAGCGTGCTGTGTATGTGTCTGTGTGGAAGCGTAACGCATCGTAGTGTAGTGGTTAGCGCGCTGTGTATGTGTCTGTGTGTGTCTGTGTGTATGTGTCTGTGTGGAAGCGTAACGCATTGTAGTGTAGTGGTTAGCACGCTGCGCTACGAACCCGGCGACCCGAGTTCGATTCCCGCTCATGGCCACCACCGGTGACGATTATTTTAACCGGTCCTGGGCCTCCCCTAGGTCGCCTCAGCCTCAAACCAGTAACAAACGAGTAACACCGCCACTGGGGAGACAAAGGCGGCCGGGCGTGGTGAATCCAAGTCCCGGGAGAAGCCGGGTAGTAAAGCTAGTTCATTATAAAGGTTTTTGGGTTAGATCACATAAGCATAAATGTGTTGTAACCCTCCACCACCCGACACAGCCAGTATTTATACTTACACGATCTCCCCCAAAAACCTTTATTACGATCCCAATATAAATTCAGCCAAAAGGCAAATATGTGTCAAAATGTGTTTCCTATGTGTCGTCGGAGATGATAAAACAACTGCAATCACGGGATTCAAATAATTTGACACTCTGCTGCTTTGTATGCAAGAATGGTTTTGTTTGAAGAAACTATTTGGAGAATACTCTTTGGTTCTATTCGGTAAAGTCACGTAGGTAAAACAATAAAACAACAAAAATCACGACGTTTCGGCCACAACACAAGCGGCCTTCATCAGGTGAAGGGACCAGCCTGTCTCGAAGACTGCGCTGGAGAATATAACAAAGCAAGCAGACTATTGTTTGCACAAAATAACTACCTCAAAGATGGAAACGATCATTTATTGAAAAATATCAAGATGCTCCTTCATGTATATTAAAAAAAAACACATTACACGATATATACTTACTGTTTTAGCCAATGTACTTTATTATGTATCTACAATTGTCGCAATGTATATATGAAGTGTGCAAATGCATATACTGTTGTCAATGCAATTGGCCCAAATTCGCAACACAGGAGTGTCCAGAAAGCGAGTCTCGGAGCTAAGTGAGGAAGTCCCGGGTGAAGTAAAGGGTAACGATCTCTTGTGTATCAAGAAGTTTCGCAAGAGGGATGATGACAGTGGGGAACAAGTGAGGAACTAACAGAGGAAGAAGTAGAACAATCAAACAATAAAACATCTAATTAGGCCAGGTTCAGTGTAACGACGAGCTTAAGATTGTAGCCATGCCTTAGTCTTACAAAACAACAGTTTTTCTGCTATGAATTCAGCGAGGCGGATATGATTCCGCACAATGGTTAAGATGAGTGGCGAGCGATATCTAAACCGGCCCTGGGCCTCAATTGGGCCAATAGAACCTCATCTGAGCACCTGGTGCCTCCCTTGGGTCGATAGAATCTCAACTAAGCACCTGCTGCCTCCCTTGGGTCGATACAAGCTCAGCTGAGTGCCTGTTGCGGTTTCTAAACATCAGCCCCTGGCCAACAGCAAAGGTGGCCCGGGTGAGGTCGAGCAGGCCACACCGTGCCGTACACGCCTCGCCAGGTGGGCGCTCGCTGACAGAATCTTGGCCCAGCAGTGCGCGCAGGCCACTCAGGGCGTTGGTCGCCTTCATCTCGTCGCGCCGAGCAGGTGAAGCGCAACGCGCTGCCGCTGGTGGTGGCCGGCCACCGTCTGGAGCCGCGCGTCGTCCTCGTCCTCTACTTCGACAACGAGGCCCCGCGCATCAACATGAAGAGCGTGTTCCCAGGCGTGGCGGCCATCATCATCGTCATCGCGCTCGCCGTGCTCACCGGAATATCCGTGTTTGTGAGTCTAAGTGGTCATCGCTGTCATTCACCATCGTCATCGTCTTCATCATCATCAGAGTCTTCTTATTCAAAGACTTGGGAATGTAAATGAACCAACTTTTAATTTTATTTTACCAGGTAAGGCCCACTGAGCTATATAGAAGCGACCTGGCCACAAATGATAGCCCAACGAAGTGGCCTATTGCGTGGAAATTTCTATGAGATAAGTACATTAAACGCATGTTTTTAAATGTGGTAAGAAAAACCGGAGGACCCGGAGAAAAATCCACCCGATTACGGAGAGAACATGCAAACTCCAAATATACAGGCGTCACTTTCGGGATCGACCCACAACCTTCTGTATACCAGGCGAGGTAGCTAACATATTAGGGGAAACGTGAATATGCCAAACTTATTCTTCCTGTAGCCTTCATCGACCACCAGTGTGGCTCCTCATCATGGCACACGTAGCTACTTGCTCCCCCAACTGTGTCTCTCTGTGCCTGATCACAATGATACAAGTGTAGAACTTATTTGTTTTGCGTCTAAATGCGACCGTATCTCAAGACACAGACACAGTGAGCACATTTATTTTGTAAACAGTTAGGGAGTCACACGCTTTCAGATGCGCTTCTGTGGCCGTCTGGAACACTTTCCACTTTTAAGTCAAGATTAAAAACGAATGTAGGACTGCTTTTTGTGTCCTTCACCCGCACCTCCGATCAGCACGGTTGGCTACGTACGGTGCGAAAGAAGTTGAACGTACATACAGAAGAGGAAGACCTTGAGCATTGGCCTTGAATAGAAGCAGGAAGTCAAAAGTACCAGATGGCTGGGGGAAGGAAGTTACAGACTGGGGGAAGCAGAGGAGAATGACTGACTTCCCACAATCAGCTTCACCGGCATCCAACGTATAACATTCGACATGTAAAATGCAACAATCCACTAATTAAAACATCTAGTCTTACAAGCACGATACGTGGATCGAATCGTCAATGTCAAAATTGTTTTTTTTTATTCATGTACGTTGTGTGTAATTGATTCACTTGACCCACCAGTCAAAAGAGGCACAGGATAACATCAAAACGTTCTTGAAATGAATGGGAACCATGAATTGTGACAACTCATTGAACTGCAAGGGACTGAATCGTTCCATGCCCAACAATTATCATCGTCATCGGTAGAAATCATTGTGATGCACACCACAAACCCATCAACTTATATGGACGGTTGATGGATCGCTCAGAGAATTAGCATGATTATTGTGATCAGTTTTTTTTTATCTTGTGCATTGGCTACATGGGCTGGAAGAAGTAAGGATATCTATATTTCCCTTTGATTAACACAATCATTAAACTACTTTGGAAAAATGAGGATGTTTAAATATTTTCCTTTCATTTCAGGTTGTTGTCACGCGGCGATCACAGGAGGAGAAATGCAGGGTGTACTTCATCGAGGTAATAATGAACCACAATGAAGCAAAGACAGATAAGCATTTGTACATAATTAACTATTGAGTATGTCACACTTATAAATTATTTAACATAATTGTATGCATTGTACCATCAAAAGTGCATTATCTTCCTTCCATTCTATGCAGTGATGGTGTCGAGTTTGTGATTGTCATTTTCGATTAATATCTGGCATCAAAGCTCCGGCTGTAATGCATTATTTGCGTGTCGTTTGTTTTTATTTCAACCAGGAAGGGCAGGAGATGGTGGAAAGAAGAGAAGGAAGCTTGGAAATTGAATAATGCTTCAACGCTTAACACTCAATGCTATAATAAGTTATTCTTACCAAAATTGTGTGCAAAATAGTACCATCTTCCCCAACACGATTTCCCCTTTTTACTCACAATCAAGCAAAGAAAAGATTTTGGTTTAGCACGTAGGCTCTCAGTTTAACACGTAGGCTTTCGCGACCAATATTATCCATAATCGACGTTTTTGGGTTAGATCACGTGAATATAAATGTGTCGTTAAACCCGCCACTTCCCGACACAGCCAATTAGTAAGGTTTGTCACGTAAACAAAACATGGGAATCTGTTACTAGTTCGTTACGAGTTCAGCACACTGGTGTGTTGGAGATTAAACCCACAACATTTACATTGTGGTGTGCTGAACTAGTAACGAATTGCCATGTTTTGTTTATATGTGTTATTACCCATTATAGTCTACAACAGCATATATTGATTATATAATATAATAATATTTACTTATTTATCTAAGAAAGCACCCAGTCCCTAGACTCTTGTTCAGGAGGCTCCAGCATTGGGACGTTTGGCCCACTCAAATTATATTTTATGTTTTTATCCGTGGGAGGGAACCCGGAAAACCCGGAGGAAACCCACGCAGAACAGGGTGAGAACCTACAAAATCAAATGGCTGATTTGTAAAAATGTATTTTTGCATTAAAGCGGGCCCCATCATTTAGGCATGGTACATGCCAATCACCCCCGGCAACCATAATCAGAATATGTTTAACAAGCCTGACTCCGCTGATAAGATCCCAAATGTTTAAAAACTTTTCCAGAATGTGCTTGCTTAAACAGATGCTGCTTGATGATATTGATCTGGAAAGCGAATAGGCCAATAGGGAATCGACTACAACATAGTTTATGGAATGTGGAGACAGAACGGAGGTTTGTTTATATATGTAATTACCCATGATGTTCCACAAAAAATGCTAAATTAGTTTTCCAAAATAACATTGCAGTCATACAAATATCAAACGTCGATCGCTAAACTGTGACTGGCTAAACGTGTTGGCAGTAACCTCTACAATATATTTTAGGGGGATTAAACAGTTACCTCCTATCTCCAGGTCATGGGCCAGAGCAGGCATTGTTACTACCTAAGGCAGACACGCTTTAGTCGTGCCAATTTATTTATATGGCTAACGAGAGTTCATTACTCAGTAACCTTGCTCATTTTTAATTCCACCACATCTCCACTGTTGTTGGCTACGTAGATAATTGGGAACCGCTCGAAGTTGTGTCACCTTAGATCAGGGGTGGGGACCGTCCGGCCCGCGGGCCGCGTGAGGCACCGCGAAATCGTTTGGTGTGGCCCTGCCAAGGCAACCGCAGGCGGGACTCGAAATTAAATCAATCTAGGAGCAAACCTGGAAAAGCAGTTGCGAGTAGCAACATCATCAATACCAGCTCACCAAAGAGAAGCTGTTCCAGCCATAACATTAGGGGTGAGTTAATTAAATGTTTGAGCAAATATAACAGGCTAATTTTTCAGTTGATCATTTTGTATGGCCCGCGAATGATGTTATAAATATCCAAATGGCCCTTGGCAGAAAAAAAGGTTCCCCACCCCTGCCTTAGATGGTACCGACAAGTGAAATATCTGATGTGGGCTCAGGGACGATGTCCGTTTTATATATATAGTCCATAGATAGGAGGTCATTGTTTGTCAGTCGCTGCACAAGACTGACTACGTTAAAATTGGTGTCTTGTAACTTGTTGTGTTAAAGTCGACGCCTATAGTCGGGCGAGCGGTAGTGTAGCGGTTGGCGCGCTGCGCTACAAACCTGGCCAACACCTGCGACGATTATATAAAATTGGTCCTGGACTTCCCCTAGATCGACTCAGCCTCAAATTATTACCTGGTGTGGGGTGTAAACATCGCAACTGGGGAGGCGACAAAGGCGGCGCAGTGTGGCGTTGGCCACCCACCCCCTGGTGTGCCGCTTTAGTCTTTATAGGTGCTCCTCGCCATATAGCGCTTGCCCCAACAGTCTGTTAAGGCTACAGGGGGGATCTTTGTCTATTGTCAGTCGTCGTTGGTTACAATTGTGTATGGTGCTCACCAGTGATCTGTCTGCGTTAACACAAATATGTTCAGAAAATGGGAAGTTGAAGAGAGTTGCCCTCCTTCATGAGCAGCTTAGAATGTTTTTTTTAATGATGAGGTTATGGACAAGAGGAGTTCTGTAAATTGAAATATGTGCTTTAACTTAAAATCGCATGCGACTCCGCGGAGTGGCAAAAAAACAAATGAAGCAACTGAGCAGGCCACGTTGTGTCTGCGCTCGGCTGCTGCACACCAACTACAGCTGACATCAAAGCTGCAAAAGAGCGACAGCGCGCCGAGCTTGACTGTATTCCGGTTGGATGAACCCAGGGACCAGATTCCTGAAGTCCCCTCTCCACGCAACTCCTCCACACACGCTGAGATCAGGGCGAGGGACTGCCACGTGTGAGAACGGAGTCGTTTGACTCTTTTCTGCTTCAGTTTGGCAAAGCTGCGCCTCGGTTTTGGAGAAAATACTTAAAAAGTGAGTGTTTAAAAAAAATACATTTGCAACTCTTGCTCGACTTCTGTGTTTGGGAAAAGAAAAAAAACGACACTCTGATGCGTTAGCTGCAGTAGTCAGAATCCTTATAACGTAAAAAAAATCCGCGATATATAGAGTTCCTTTCTCGTCTAATAAACACATTTAATAAACAAATAGTCACCCTGTTTTTTGAGTGAAATCATGTTTAAATGACGTTTAAACGTTACTTTTGGTACATTTACACGATTGAGTTTTCAAACTAATAAAAAAATATATATTTTGCTCGTGTGGGCAAAACAGTGGCAGTAATTGTTGGGGGGGGACGCGGGGGAACGCAGTTAATGTGAGTGTGTAAACAGATAGACGTGAATCCATTGGTGATGGGGCCGAGTTGATATGAGCACGTGGTAGTCCCTTGACACGTGGACATTGAGTGAAAAACGTGCCGTTCTTTACGTAGTGGGTTTTCTTTTTTCTCAAAGCAATGTGCTTCCTCTTACAAAATACGCGCGCGTACGTTACATTATACAGCACGCCAGTTTTAAAGAGTTTGCCTTAAGCTGTATATTGTTGTTGTCACACAGTGCATCGATATATACTGACTTCCAATTGCGATCAAAATCAGCTGCAGTTACAATTGTACGAGTCACTTTTAACCATGAAAGTCTATGGCTTTGTCCGTCACATGCAAAATAAAACGTGTACCAAAAATACCCCGCAGCAGAGCAAGGTACAGAGTATTAGCCGCCGTGAAATTATTGATAGAGGTCTTTATAATCAGGTTCTGGGACCAGTGAGAGACTGCACATTTTTTTATACGAGAGACCTGGGTTCTAAAAACAAGAGCCGGTACGGTACAAGAAAAGAAGATGCTTCAGCAACTCAATCCTGGGAGCGTGACCTTGTTTAAAGGGGGGCGCACACACAGGGATGGAGGCACAACACAGTTCAAGTTAAACTTTAAACCAATGTTACACACGGAACGACGGTATGGTCTGCTTTGTCTGATTTTGCTCTCTCTCCCTCCCTGCTACCAACACTTTTGGCAAACTTGATTTGTAATAACACGTAGGCTTTCGCGACCAATATCATCCATAATATAGGTATTTTTTTGGGTTTTATCAATCCTGGGAGCGTGACCTTGTTTAAAGGGGGGCGCACACACAGGGATGGAGGCACAACACAGTTCAAGTTAAACTTTTAACCAATGTTACACACGGAACGACGGTATGGTCTGCTTTGTCTGATTTTGCTCTCTCTCCCTCCCTGCTACCAACACTTTTGGCAAACTTGATTTGTAATAACACGTAGGCTTTCGCGACCAATATCATCCATAATATAGGTATTTTTTTGGGTTTTATCGCGTAAATATAAACAAATCTGGCTATCGCCTTATGTAGCTAGTTGTAATTACTGGCGAAACGTACTCAGATTGTAATTGTTGTGGATTTACCCTCCAACACACCCGTGTGCTGTACTAATAACGAATTGGAATGTTTTGTTAACGTGACAAACCTTACGAGTTGGCTATGTCGGGTGGTGGCGGGTTTAACGACACGTTTATATTTATGCCATCAAACCCCAAAAAAACCCTATTATTGTCGATTTGTAATCATTTACAGTCGAGGAGTCTGAGCCTTTTACAATAGATTACATTTAGATTACATTTACATCAATCGTAAATGTAATCGAAATGTAATAATTAAATGTAATTAATGTGTAAAAAATATGATGCAGAAGGCAATGATCGGAAGGATTTTATAATTCTTAGTGCATTTAATTAATCCGGTTTTCTCATCGACAACTGATAGGGAGGGGATGGGTTATTAAATGTAAAATAAGCTATTATATATTATTTCAGGTTCGTGAAGCAACGCGGCAGAAAGAGCTGCCTCTGAATCTACAGTGTATCCAATTTCAGTGGAAACATAGGGGACACACGAACGTTTCGTTACAATCCTGAAGCTGTCTGCCTTGAGCTACGTGAACGACACATCAACATTATTTGCACCTTTTCTTCTTTTTGCAAACAAGAAATAAATGTATCCGTTAATTTTCACCAATTTACAAAAAACGAAATTGATTGTTATTTAATCATGAAATGTTGTGTGACCACGTACATGAGCCCACCTTACAAGTATAAGCCCTTGGAGCATGCCTTGGGAACAAACTGCGCACACACACACACTTAATGGTGCCACTGCCAAAATTAAATAACCTGACCCTATCCAAACTGCTCAGGCTATGAATAAATATGCGTTCCGGCCATTCTGAAAGGCCTGTTAAACATTAATGAAACAAAAACAACTTGCGCATTCACACCTTGCACGTGACTGCATTCTGGTACAAAGTGCGCAGTGGCACGATTTAAATTGTGACCCCGCTCTGCAAGTAATTATTTCAATAACTCGGCTGCCCATTGTGGCCCAAAGCATGAAATGTCGTAGCAATACCTGCCGGGGATGTGTCAGTGATGGGTGTGGCGCGGTGGTTATCACAACCGCCCTGCGAGCCTGGTAAGCCGAGTTCTATTCCCGTTTCACGGCAGACACGGACGGCGAGGGATACCTGAACGGCGTCCATGAACCCGCGACCTTTGCCTTGCATTGATCAACACAACGAAGCCTGGACAGTCGCTGTGACCAACATGGCACGAGGAGGCCTTCACCCAGCAGTCGATTGACAATGGACTTAACGCGACACGAATATACG